TATATATATATATATATATATATATATATATGTGTGTGTCAGAAAGCATAAATAAATGCAATTTTTTTTTTATGGTTTTCACAGCTTTCTTAGAAGAATCAAAAACTGATACATACAGAATTTTAAGTGTTCAGTGTAGCGAATCAGCTCAAAGGGGAAATATGAATAATTAATCATAACTAGTTATAATTAATTAGAAATATTTAGATCCGCTGTAAGTATTTACTTGACCTCTCAGGGTCAACTGTCTGTCAATTCTAAGAACGTTCATTTCCTGGTTAAGGGAAATAACTTTCTTACTGTAAAATACTCATGTACTAGCATGTAGCAGAAATCTGCATGATTAGGGACTACGATTATGAGCAAACAATGCACAAACTCAGGTGTGATACAAGCAAGACTTCGTCTACATAAACTAGTCTAACATACACCTACACACACAGTTGGTATAGGAACAAGATTAAAGCTTAGGCAGTAAAGAGAAATAAAGCATGAAACTCTGGATATTCAGCAGAGCTACAGCCTGAAGGAAACATCAGATTTTTAGTTCAAACACACCTTTGGAAAAAGGTGCAAATGATACTTAATGTATCAGTTAATAAGACTAAGTTTGATACTTGCATGTCTTGTCTGTCTGACACAGATTCCCGATGCAATCTGAAGGCTCAAGTTGATCTTTGCTGAAGTTGGTTGATGGAAAAATAACCAGTTTGAGTCAGATTATCTTGGTGAATGGAAAGTCAAGGCCCGAGGCCTGGCGCAAACTTAGGGTGTCCTTAAGAGCGTTGTCGCTCACATCTTCTCAGAATCTATCAGAACCACAGACTGGAGGTGGGTCACTGATGTGAGGCCTTTAAGGCCTTACAAGATTCACGCCTCTCAGGATGAGCTTGTCCAATAAGAAAGGCTGAAATTCCAAGTGGGAGTTTAGAAATACTGGTGAGTTTTATGACCTTTGTGTGAAAGCATGGTAATTTGCATATGGAACTTGACTCGAAATTACTAAAGATTCTCAGAACACTAATACATTGCCTATGTACCAACACATAATATACACTCTTGTTTATGTGGCAGATGAGAATTACAGCAGGGCAACAGAATTAAAAGCCCAAATATGACCGACTACGCCACCCCAAGTTTGATTACAGGGGAATTACTCTAACAAGAATAAAGCTCACAGGTTCAGTTCAGTGGGGTCAGGTATGAGACACAAATTATACAAAAGATTTGTTCATTTACCAATAATAAAAACACAAAGATGCACTACACAGTACATAACAAACCCTAACAAAAGAATATATGAGAATAATTCACAAACGACAATACACATTACAAACGATACACAGCTTGGGGAGCGGCATCCAGCTCTTCTCAGGAATAGGTCCCAAAACTCTCCCATCTAGAATAAAGAGAGTTTAAGCACAACAAAATCCACATTCACCACACTTGCACGCAAGCACAGACACACTGCACCTCACTATGGAGCACAGCAATCAGTGAAGAATACCACCACCGAGAGTAACAGGAAACAACTAGTCTTTCTGCCGCCCCAATTCTACAAAAAAAAAAAAACCCACACACACTCCATACACCCAAACACATCAGACTGTAAACCTGAAAAAAAAAAAACAGTCAAGGCTAAAAAGCAAAACCTGTACCGCTTACAGACCAGGTAATATACCAATTGATACTCACACAAAAAAAATGTGCCTGTACTCAAGTATTACATACACATTTGAGCATTACCCTTAGCAGGCGGCAACAAATTAAAGGGAAAAAAAAACACCCTATTCAACAAAGAAGACTCAGAAAAACCCCAACATAGTGGTCACTGAAAAGTAGACATCTGGACATTAATCACAGTTTGAGAAATACGCAGCCCAATCCGGTGCAAAACGGAGGAGAAGCAACTCCGCACAACCCGCAGCAGCGAATTGAAATTACAGCAGTCTGTCAGCCCATCACAACGCACTAGGCGTCGAAAGAAAAACCTGCAAACACATATGACAAACCCAAAAATAAAAATAAAAAAATAAAAAAAAAGAGTTACTTACAAAACACTTACCCCATACACAATGGGCCACAATTAAAAGGCCATACCTCCGTAAATGACGACCGCCGCACGGATTTACACACTTAAGGAACAAGGCACCTGTTTATTACACACCCTGCATTTCCTCAGTCCACTAAAATGAAAAATAAGGTTTGTCATCCAAAATAAACAGCCACAAGCCACCGTATCCCTAGCAGCTTACAGCTCTTACCTCTTGGGCACGATACACATGCAAACAGAACCGGTAACACTTAGATGACGCACATCCGGGTGGCACATGTTTCCCTTTTTATACCAGTACTTTAACAAGACTTTCTCCAATTTACTAATTAACTAGTGCTCAACCCCCTATGTAATCAATGCATCCTGCCACAAGTGGAAGAGGAAGCCTAGAATGAGATAACTCGATTGGGCAGCTAAGGTTGATGACTACAGACTATACTACATGTCCTCACAGTATGTCATAGTAAACTCATTGGATTAGTGCCTTTCTCCAATTTACTAATTAACTAGTGCTCAACCCCCTATATAAATCAATGCATCCTGCCACATTTAGATCAGAAGACGAATTCATAGATACTAAACATGGTAGGATTACATATAGGTAAGATTACATGAACAAGTGGTTCTAATCACAATCCTGCATAAAACAGTATACAATATAAGACAACATACACAATGATCTGAAAAATATGCGTGTTCATTCAAAGAAAGGTTTTCCTATGAATTAGAGAAGAGTCGATTTTTACTGCGCATTGTCTTTCCTATGGAAAATGTAGTGAGTTTCTTTTGGGCAATCCTTTGGGCAATAAAACCAGTGATGTGATAGCATTGGTCGCCATGGAATCAGAGGCCTGTTCAGTCACAGACATCCTGGCACCCAGCATGTTTATTGGGTGAGGGGTCTGTCATTTGTTAATCTAATGAATAATTTAGTTGTTAAATGAAAAATGGTGTATGATTGGTCCAGACACTACATCAGGAAAAACGTTTCCCTTTACAAAATATTGAGCCAAAAACAATAAGATTGGTTAAATAAACTCGACTGTTCTCACTCACATGTAAAACCAAGAATAACGGTTTAATGTTCCAAAGAGACATCATCAGAACTCTCAACTACAAAAACCACAATGACTTCATGACATCCTTGCACATCTGCTAGAGGGCGCTGATGTCAAAACAAGCGCTTTAGCAGCTACAGAAGGACAGCGGAGTTGTTAGTCAATTCTCAGCCCAGAGGACATTAAATGCCAAACACAGCCGAGCTCTGGAGGAACTGCGTAATAAATGTTGATTTGATCAGAGAAGTTCTGAGTCAGACCCTGCAAGGTCAATACAATAACACACACACACACACACACACAATACAGTTTCCTGCAGAGGAGCCAGTGACGTGGGATCCACAAATGTGAACATCTTCACAATAAAGCACTTTTAGTGGGTTGGGAAGTGAAGACCAGATGATCCAGTCACTGGAACCAATGTGGTCAGGTAACGATCATCCAGGTAAGGGCATCTGAAAGGGAAAAGGAGGTCAGAATTCCCAGACTAGCAGGATATACACTGCCATTACACTCACCCATCATCCAGAAGGTCCCACTGAGGTAGACGGAGTGGACTGGGGGTTGAAGTTGCCCAGCATCAGGACAATGTTGGGGGCTGTCCTCCCCATAATGCGCACCTCAACATACACAGGCTCACACAGCACTTTTGTGATGGGATAATCAGCATCACTGTAGTAGGACATGAAGGCCTCTTCCCCTGAGGAACTACATTGGGGATTAACCAGAAATGGCTGCAACCTGGAGTCTTAAGATACTAGGAACATAACTTCTGCACACCCTTTGGTAACACACTGGCCATTGGCTAGTCTAAGCTTCACCCTGAGGGGTCCAGGGGCAGCTACTGGTGGAGGTGGAGGAACAGTGTTGACCTCCACAACCAGAGCTTCCACAGAAGTGCCAGAGTACCTACACTGGAAGAGAAGCCTGGACAACAGACGGGGAGCTTACAGCATTTGTCAGAGATTAACGACTAACAGCATAGAACACCTACTCAAAATGTCTGTCCCTTGTGATGGAACCAAACGGCCCCATCCCCACTTCATATGAGGTGGTCATTCTGTTCTCATACACCACATAACCGCTGTCCTCCTGCAAATAGCAACACTGTTGGCATCCAGTCCATCATAGGCCATGAAGAACAAAGCTATAAGCAGCTACTCACCATCATTCTTGTACCACATGCAGTCACAGGGAACTAGTATACAGCAAAGGAAGGTGTGGACCCCACAGGACTGCAAGGTGAGTCATTTCCACCCAGTAGATGGACTGAATCCAGACTCAGTCGAGGCAGTGTAACATCTCTAGCCACCACTACCACAAACTGACCATCTCTTATACATTGGACAGTCACTGGAATGAAGGCACAAGATCAGGTTAATGTTGAGGATAAGTTTAACTGGGAGCATAACAGCAACTCAACACTCTTACCTGCCTTCCCATAGTAACACTGCTGTCCGTTAAAGCAGCAGTTGATAGCTTCACATTCAGCACCACTGATACCAGGTTGTCCACATTGGATCTGCTCATAATCAGCTACAGCACATATGTCCAAAGGCTCTGCCTTCGTCACTTGCTTCTGAAACTTCTGAGGAAACTGCTGATTAGTCAGTTGAACTGGCTGCTGCAACTTCTGAGGAAACTGCTGATTAGTCTGTTGAGCTGGCTGCTGAAACCACTGGTGCACAAACTTAAACTGAATTCAAAATATTTTACTAATCTGATTGAAATAAGAAAAGTTACTGTAACTTGCCAAATGTAGATTTTCACCTTTGATGCCGTTGTCCTTACCACTCCATGCAGACAAGTGTGCTCTTACAGATATGATGAAATACTATTTTAAGCAGTAAATTACTTTAAATATATGGAAGCTTATTTCCACCTCAGAATAAAAAAATGAAAATGAAAAAGGTAATTGCAACTTTTTTTCTAGAAATTGTGAGTTTCTATCTCACAGTTTGCTTACATCTCAATGATGCTGACTTTATTCTCCAAATCTACCTCTTTCATTCCTTGGGGGAAATAAGCTTCCATTAAAGTAAGTAAGTGAAGTTTATTGAAACCACTGAAGAATACAGAGTTAAAGAGAAACTCAGACAGATTTTTATTCTTTAAGATCAGACCTCAGACTTTCTCTAGTAAAACATGACTGCAAAAAAAAAAAAAAGAGAAATCTGAGTTAAAATTACTAAATCAGTTGACACTTAAAGGA